CATATTCCCCCCCGGCCTGTTTTCCCCCTCTGGGGCCAGTAAGGGTTGTGGTGATCTACACCCCCGAAACCCCCCCAGACGGCTAGGGGGGGGGGGGGAATTCTGGGAGTTGAAGTCCACACGTCTTAAAGTGGCCACAGTCGAGAAACCCTGCTCTGGACCCACCTTCATAGGGAAAGAGGAAGGGAATAGTCCCCAATTTTTAAAAATATTGTTTCAACAACCAATTCCCCATTCTCCCTTCTTTCCCAGCCTTAGGCTGAGTTTATGCTGTGCTGTTTTCACTTAGGACAAACTGCTTGCTAGGGTTTAATTCTTTCAGTAAAAAGCAGGGAGAGATAACCAAGAGGGGAGAGACTATGGGAGGAAAGGAAAAACAAGGGAAGTCCATCTCTCCTCCATCTTCCATCAACCAACACGAAAGGTCTCCCTGACACTCCCCCTCCTAATCCTGGGGCTAGAACTATATTCCTCCCTGCATCTGCCGAAAGCAGCTGGGTTTATAAATGATCATGCCGTTCTCAATATCAATCCCAAGGCTCTCCACGGGGCCACCTCCCCCCATGAAGTTGGCACGAGCCCCCTTTTCCCACCTACCCTCAGCTCCTTCCGATTCAAGCAAAGCTCTGGGTGAGAAATGTCATTCTACACTGGGTAATTTTAGCCCCGTCAGACAAGTATCTCTACCAGGCTCAGACAGATCACGACCTGCAAGGAGAGCACCCAGCAAAATGAACAAAATAATATGCTTGTCTGTGCTGAGAATAACTGGGGACTGGTGCAGGGGAGTCCAATTTGATGGAAGAACGAGTACCAGATTGCACGCTGCTTCTTGGACAACACTGACCACGCTTGACTTTGTCTACGCTTCCTTTCACACTTAAGCAAACAGACCGCTTAAATTTAAGCAGCTTAAAAAACCAACCACATGTACTAAGCCAAATGCAGCATCCTGTTAAAAAAAAAATTGCACAAGGTAAACGCAAGGTCTTCCAGATAGGTTCAGCGATCCCTCCTATTCATCCGGGATCTCCAGCATGATAGCTCCACAGGACTAGGATTGGACTGGGGGGCTTCCAGCCAACCACTATTTCATTTCTGTGACCCAGTGCAAAAACAGTCCATTAGCATGACAGCAGAACTTCCCTGCAGAGCTCAGAACACGTCAGAGCATCTCCTCTATGACAAACCCAAGGAATATTAGTGCCACTATGAGATGGTGCATGCTAGATACCAGATTCAGACATGACTGGGATACAAAATTCAAAGGCACTCAGCCCCTAAAGTCACATTATTAATGACACCTGCAGACAGTTTGAATGCAAACTAAGCAGCAGCTGTACAGCTGGGGTCCAAGCTGAGTGACGCCTAAAGGTCTCCCCATACTCTCAACCTGAATGTTCAAGGCTGAAGCAGAGAACACCTCAACAACCAAGAATTTGGGGTACAGGTAGAATTGTTTCCCCTCCCCCAAACTAAGGACTCTGATATTCCTTTCCTCCCCACCCAGTGATAATTTTCTGTGCCCCAAGCAGCTTTGCTTATGTCTGAACACACGTTTCAGACATTCCCAGAAGGCTATTAATGGGGTAATGGCTTCACCGCCAAATAATTTGCTATGATCAGCTGTGACAGGTTGCTTGATGGACAACAAGTGGACTGATTAACCTTTGAGCTACATAACTCAGCTTTAAACAGAGCAGAGTTGGTTGTCTTTTCGTTGCAACATGTCTGTGGAGGGCTGGCAACCTGATCTTAAATGTAACCCAACAGCATAATTGCAGTGGCATTCTGGGCTTAGACAAGGAGGTTGTTCAGGTCTGACATCCATGCTTTTCCAAGGCCACTAAAGTCCATTTTATTTCTGCTTGACCCATGCCACATTTGGCAAGTGTTCCATAGGCAAAGAGGTCTGAGGACCTATTGAGGTTCTGGATGTAATCGGTAGGCATTTCTCTACTGGAAGACAACTCAATTGGGACTG